TTTCCAGGCTTTTCTGACTCATATTTATGCTGAATGCTGTCCCAAGATTCAAAGGCAGCATTAGGTCCACCTGGCAGTTAGACATGGTGTCCTGATTGATGGGGCCTATGACAGGAGAGGCTTAGTGAAAAGACAGGATAAGGTCATTCTGAAATTCACTCCCATTTCTCATTCTGATACTCCTTGGACTGGGAGAGAAAGAGAGGCTAACTTTAGGTAGAGTGACCAACTGTCCCAGTTTCCAGGGTTTTTTGGAATATGGGGTGTTCAGATCAAAAACTGGGCAAGTCTCAGGAAAACTAGGGAAAGTTGGTTACCCTGAGATCTCTTGAGGAAATTCAACAGTGAAAAATCCAATTGAATCACCTTTGACCACTCAGTTTAATTCCCTTAACTTTGTCTAAGTCATAGAAGTTGGATACAAAGAAAAACAAATACTTTTTGCAATACCTTGGATAAGGTTACATAGGAGGATTTGTTAGAAAAATACCTTGCAATACACACACACACACACACACACGCACACACGAACACACCCTAAAAGCAAGTGCCACACACACTGAACATTTAATATGGTTTTTACTCCAAATCCTTTCTACAGCACCTGTTGCCTGAGCTTGATAAAGATTTGATAAGCTGTTGAACAAAGTTTAGCTGAGTATATTATCAGATCACTTTAAAAAATTCAGAGCCAGAAAATCTGAAGAAACTGGGCTGTTTCAGAAATTCCTTACAGCAGGAAAACCCAGAAAGACTTCATAATCTAAATATAGGTGATTACCATCACCTCCGGTGACCAAATTATCAGTCAATAGGGAGGATGGTCTGCCACCTGGTGGTGACTCGTAACATTGCTCTCTGGTAAAGCACAATTTCTGTTAGGTGAATTAATTGGGCATAGAATCATAAGAAAAGCTGGAGACTCCTTAGGTTATGACTATACTTTTTAACCACTAAAATAAATTTCACAAATAATATTTTTAAATTATTTGTGAATTTTTGAACATGAAGTAATCTCACAACGGGGTGAGGGAAAGGGAAAAGAGAATTAAAATCTGTAGAATATTTAAGTGAGCTAGATGTTATATAAAGATTTCTCCCACAACCTTGTAATATGAATAATATTATCTAAATTTTACAGATGCTAACATGGATACTTAGGAGGTTAAGGTGCTTCCCTAAGATTAAACAAGAAAATAAAGGGCATAGGCAATTCAACCTCAGTTCTTTCTGGCTCCAAAGTATGATCTCAGGCTGTTACACTGCATTTTGTCATACATTTAACAGATCACTTCATAAGAAGTAACTTTATTAAAGTACAGTTTATATGCAATATACCTGTATGTTTTAAACATGTTATGTTGAGATAATTATACAGTCACAGGAAGTTGCAAAAATGGTTACATCTTATATAACTAGAGTTTAATATCAAAACCAGATGATATTAAACCAGATATTTATCGCATGGATAAATACACATGACCATCACTGTGATCAAGATACAAAACTGGGGCTGTGAGCTGTGGCTCATATTCCTAATCCCAGCACTTTAGGAGGCCGAGGTGGATGGATTGATAAATTCAAGAGTTCAAGACCATCCTGGGCAACATGGTGAAACCCCTCTCAGCAAAAAATACAAAAATTGGTGCCTGTACTATGTGTCTGTCATCTCAGCTACCTGGAAAGCTGAGGTGGGAGGATGCCCTGAGCCCAGGAGTTTGAGGCTGCAGTGAGCCAAGATTACACTGCTGCATTCCAGCCTAAGCAACACTTTATGAGACAGAGCAAGACCCTGTCTCATAAATAAATAAATCTGTGATCCATTCTGTGCTAACTTTAGTATAAAGTGTGAAGTTTAAGTGTTTTTTTTTTAATTGTTGTTGTTTGTTTGTTTTTGAGACAGAGTCTCGCTCTGTCGCCCAAGTTGGAGTGTAGTGCCACAGTCACTGCTCACTGCAGCCTTGATATCGAACTCCTGACCTCAAGTGATCTGCCCACCTCAGCCTCCCAAAGTGCTGGAATGACATGCATGAACCACCATGCTCAACCTTTTTTTCTTTTTCCTATAGTTATCAATGGCAAGCTGAATAATGTCCACATTCTAATATCTGGAACCTGAGAATATTACCTTATATGGCAAAGGAGCTTTTGCTGGTGTGATTAAATTAAGATTCTTGAGATGGGGAAGTGATCCTGGATTATCCATGTGAGCTGGGTGTCATTACAAGGACCCTTGTCAGAGGGATACAGGAGATCAGAGTGAGTAGAAGATGTGACCGTGGAACCAAGATGTTGGAGTGATGCAGAGAAAGAGTCATGAGTGAAGAAATGCAAGCAACTTCTGTCAGTTTGTGACCAAGAGAGGAGCAAAAATTGGTTCTTCTAACTCAATTCTTTCTTTTTCTTCCTTTTTTTTTTTTTTGAGATGGAGTTTCACTCTTGTTACCCAGGCTGGAGTGCAATGGCACGATCTCGGCTCACCGCTACCTCTGCCTCCTGGGTTCAGGCAATTCTCCTGCCTCAGCCTCCTGAGTAGCTGGGATTATAGGCATGCATCACCATGCCCAGCTAATTTTTTGTATTTTTAGTAGAGACGGGGTTTCACCATGTTGACCAGGATGGTCTTGATCTCTTGACCTCGTGATCCACTCGCCTTGGCCTCCCAAAGTGCTGGGATTACAGGCTTGAGCCACTGCACCCAGCCTTTATTTTCATTATCTATTATGCCATACAGTTTTTTTTTTTTTTTTTTTTTTTTTTGAGACAGAGTCTTTCTCTGTTGCCAGGCTGGTGTGCAGTGGTGCAATCTTGGCTCGCTACAACCTCTGCCTCCTGGGTTCAAGCGATTCTTCCACCTCAGCCTCCTGAGTAGCTGGGACCACAGTGCCACCATGCCTGGTTAATTTTCGTATTTTTAGTAGAGATGGGTTTTCACCATGTTGGCCAGGATGGTCTCGATCTCTTGACCTTGTGATCTGCTGACCTTGTGATCCGCCCACCTCGGCCTCCCAAAGTGCTGGGATTATAGGCATGAGCCACTGTGCCCGGCCTATACCATACAGTTTTATACCATTACACTGTACAACAATTAAATCATATTATAATAAACTGTAAGCAATTGTACAATTTATTGATTGTACTGGGATTTTATTTATTTATTTATTATTTTTTTTTAAAACAGAGTCTCATTCTGTTGCCCAGGCTGGAATGTAGTGGTATTATCTTGGCTAACTGCAACCTTTGCCTCCTGGGTTTGAGTGATTCTTGTGCCCTAGCCTCCTGAGAAGCTGGGATTACAGGTGGGCACCACCACACCTGGCTAATTTTTGTATTAATATTAAATATTTTTAGTGGAGACAGGGTTTCACCATCTTGGCCAGGCTTGTCTCAAACCTCTGGTGTCAAGTGATCCGCCTGGCTCAGTCTCCCAAAGTGCTGGGATTATAGGAGTGAGCCACCACGCTGTACTGGGATTTTAACATGATGATTTTATCTACTCATCATCTATCCATCCATCCATCCACCCATCCACCCATCCATCCATCCATCCATCCATCCATCCATCCATCCATCCATCCAGTAATCTCTTACTGGTGCCGGTCGGTGTAAAGCCCTGAGGATACAGATGTAAAAAATAATAGATGCAGGCTCCGCACTCAAGGAGCTTGCCCCCTAGTGGGTTAAAATAGGAATAGCAATTATTTCTTTTTTCGCCTGGTACCCTGGTACAGCAATTATATACATATACACATAAATATTTGTCTGTCTTAGAAGATGACTTAGCCAGATGAAGATGAAGACTGAGAGGATAGGGGGTTATAGTGAGGACATTCTGTGCAGAGGCACTGGTTTTTGCAAAGGCATGAAGACATGATAAAACATGGCACAATATGGAAATTGGACTGGCTGGCTATGATTGGGGTTTGGATGGTAAAAGGGGGCTGGTGGAGGAGGATGACGCTGAGGAAAAAAGAGGTCAGCTCATGGAAAAACCCCTGCATACCTTGTTAAGAAGCTTGGACTTAAATTTAAAACAGTGAGATGCATTGTAAGATTTAAACAAAGATAACATGATCAGATTTTTTAAAAAATCACTCCCACTAGGCCCTACTTTCAACACTGGGATTATAATTCAACATGATATTTGGAGGCTGGGCGTGGTGGCTCATGCCTGTAATCCCAGCACTTTGGGAAGCTGAGGCAGGTGGATCATGAGGTCAGGAGATCGAGACCGTCCTGACTAACACGGTGAAACCCCTTCTGTACTAAAAATACAAAAATTAGCCAGGAGTGCTAGCATACACCTGATACAAAGTTGTTTGTCAAGGGTTCTCATTGGTTTATAGAAATAATGTTGAATGGTGATTGCCTATATAGTTGTTCTTTGTATGACAAGTTCCAGGAATATGAAGATAATGGGTGTAGGTTACATTATGAAACTAAAGGAAAGGAAAGAAAAAACAAAATGCCTTTAAACAATTGCCTCTGGGGATGGGTGCAGGAGAAGGTGGGGTGGCTGAAGTCTCATACACATGTCTCTCTGGGCCTGATATATTTTATATACCTCATGTTCCTCAGACAGCTCTGAACTATTTTTCTTTCTTGGTAACAAGATGATGACAGAGCACGATAGAATGATCTGATGGGAGTCGGGGGGAAATGGGAGGGCTGAGGATTGGGGCAGTGGTACTGTTCTGGAAAATCTAACCCAAGCGACACTGAGGGGATCGGAGGAACACACTTTATTACGCTGGCGGGCCCAGAAGGGTTTGCACCCAAAAGTCTGGACCCTGGCTAAGAAAAGTACACAGTTTTTGTAGGCAAAGGGGCAGGGGAAGGAACTCAGGACTTTAGACAACGCAGCAGGTTTTAGACAATGTGGCAGTTTCTCTTAAGGTTTCCCAGTTAGTAAGCAATAAGCTGATGTACAGAAGCAGAAAGAGGCAGTTACTAACAAAAATAGGGACAGTCTCCAAATATGGGCGGTTACAGACAACTTGCTGACAAAATTCTGGGCAAATTTTTCACTTCAGTACTTTATTAGTAAATCAGGGAAGACCTCTGAGGCTAAACCTGAATGAGGGAAGGGAGACAGCTTTGTGAACGTTCTAAGGGCCCAGAGAAAGCTTCCCTTTAGCTCTCTGAAGCTTCACTGAAAATCGACAGAAAGCAGATTAATGGCAGAAAAGGAGTACAAATTTATTTGATCATCATTTTATACCACATGGCAGCCTTCAGAGTGAAGACTCAAAAATATAGGAAAAACGGCCCCATTTCTATGCTTAGGTTCAAGAAGTATGGATAGCCACAAATAAATATGATTGTATATAAAGGATATGATCTCATGCTAACAGAATGAGTGGGGAAACCCAGCAAGGCCTACCTGCCTAGATGACTCTTGGCTTCTCTGTGGAGCAGTCCTTCCTTCTGGGTATGGAGCAAGAACCTCTCTGGAATGGTTATCCCTACATGGTAGGTCAGGTAATTTATTTATGGCCAATCTTTACACAGAAAGGTGGGGTAATGTTGGAGTAATATTTTTAGGCGTTATGGCTTGCTTTGTGGGGAAGGGGTACTAGTTTCTATGACTTGCTTTGGGGAAGAGGGATTCTAGTTTCTGCGGCTATCCTGGGGGGAGAAAGAAGGGGCAGAGACTGGAGAGTTGCTTCTGAGACCTTCATCTTGGTGATCATTTTCTCGGACTCAACAAGATCCATGGATGTGTGGTCCAGTCTTAGAAAGTTCCCCTCTGACTTTTCTAGAGAATATAAAAGTATATATTTAAGTGGCTGTTGGGGACTAGCCCAACCCCGTTCATGGGTGCCCTTAGTCCCGGCAGTGACAAGGGATTGAGAAAAGGAAATAAAGACAGAGACACAAGAGTAGAATTTACAGCATGGGTCCAGGGGACAAATGCAAGCATGGCAACTGCATTGGCCCTGAGCTCTGGGCTCCAAACACTTTATTATGTGCACAATCTCATTGATCTTATGGGAGTGGAAGGGGAGGGTGAAGGCATGGGTAAGATAGCCAGGGTGGGGAGAGCACCTGATATCCTTCTAAGACATGCTAAACTAGTACTCTGGGTTTATCCCTGATTGTTAATTGTTATCAGAGTGCAGCTGCATCAGAAGTATAGCGGATTAGGAGTTACTGGGTCTGACCACTCCCAGTGCATCAAAGGGTTTTTATCTCCCAAGCATTGAGGACATAGAGCAATTAAAACTACTCCGTATTCTGAGAACCTAGGCAGAGCCTGAGGTGTTCGGTGATCTCTGCCCTGCAAGGCTTTTCTCCTCCTTGCCAGTTCCCATATGCAAAGACCCTCCTGGATCTTATGAGCAGAGGTAGCCTCCCTCCTTAGAGATCTTTCCATAAGCCTTCTTTATGAGGCCCTCAAGCAGACTCCATGTTGAGAAGACATTTGTGGGACCAGAGCAGTATTCCCTGCTCTGCAACCACCTCGAGGTGTTCCCTGGTGTTACTGTGCTCTCGGATGGTCTTTACCTTAGGCCTCCTGTTGCCTCTTGATTTCTAATTAACTGCACCAATAATATAGTTTAGTTCAGTGTATAAACTTAAGTGTACTCTGAGTCAAACAAGCTTATAATTATTTAGATCAAATTAACATAGGTCTCCCCCTGGCCATCTTGACCTACAAGTGGCAGTACGGTCTGTTTTCTTCCTCTCACCTCCTTCTTGAGGTGGGATGCACATCCATCCCCTTTTTTCAGGGCATTGTAACTGGTAAGTTAAGCTGATGCTCAAGACTGAGCAGAGATGGGGCCCTTTAGCAACAGTGCAGGCATCAGGGCCACAGCTGATTCCTCTGACAGTGTGGAAAGGACTGACCTTTTTGTGGATGTCTGATTCTTACCTCTACCTCACCAAACTGACAAAGCTTGGTTTCCTTTATCTTCCTCCTCTTCCACCCATATGGATCTGAAGTTTCTTCCAGTTCTATCCAGAGGAAAAAAAAATGGATGGAACTAAATGACAACACTGACAAAGAGGTGAGCTCCAGAGTGCTGTGGCAAATAGGGAAAAGCTAATGTGGGTGGGGGTACTAGAAGCTAGGGAATTCCTTGGGGGTAAGATAGGTCTGGAGAAGATGATCATGTGAGAGTTCTGGGCATGAATGAAACAGGTGAAACAAACTGCACAAGATAGACAAGGTGTTACAGTGGGTAGCTAGTCAGGCATGAGGAGGGCAGGAGAGGGCTCCCCACAACCCCCTCCAAAAATGTCAGGGGACCATCAGGTGATAAGCAGTTGCTAACTGTTTCTCTAAAATAGTTGGTTGCAGCCAGCCCCAGGGGAAGCCAGTCTCTCAACAGATAGAAAAAACCTAAAATTGATGATCAGTAGCTTCATAATAAGATGTCAGGAGTTGGGCGAATAGCTCAAGCATGCACATTGAGGCAAAATGGTGGAGTTGAACTGATATATAACCTCCTAGGGACATTCGACTGGGAAGGGAAGAACACCTCAAGTGAGCATGTGTACAACTCTAGTAAACACACTGTGAATGTTCCCCTCCCAACCGCCAGAAGGCCACCATGCATGCAGACAACTCACCCCAAAAGAAGTATCAGGGAAGAAAGAATGCAAGACCCTGGAAGTATGCCATCATATAAAACCCTAAGTCAAAAGGTGAAACCAAGCACTGATATATTAAGTCAACTGCTTGGCCCTCTTCCAAGTGGACTTTCCTTCCTTTTGTACCTTCTCTAACACTTTTAAACAAACTTTCATTCCTGCTCCCAAAGTTGCTTTGATCTCTCCTGCCTTCTCTCTCCTCAGTCAAATTCTTCCTTCTGAGGAGGCAAGATTTGAGGTTGCTGCAGACCTGTATGGATTCGCCACCACTAAGATACTTTGATGCTGTATGACTTGGATAAGTTCCCTAGTGGTAAGAGACCTATACACCTTGCCTGCTTCAGCTGGAGGGATTCAACCCCTGTACATGGTTTACTTCTCCTTTTTGCTCTCCTGCTTACTAACCAACCCCATGACAATTCCTCTCAGCTACAATGGCTCTGCTCCTCTCAGCTGATCTCTCAGCTCACCCTGATGGTGGCTCACATGGATGGGAAGGACCCTTAGGTCCACAACGAGTAGAACTAATGACCCTCCAGGGCAGGAGGCTCATAAAAGTGGTAGGGCTAAAGTCTAAAACCATGCAATGTCTGGGTTTTCCTCTGCTTTTTCAGCTAAAATCAGCTTTTCCCCAAGAACCTGCAGTGTCTATTCTCCTGATTTCTGTACGTGTTCTGAAATGGACTTGCACACTTGCCCAGATCATCTGCCTCGGGGGCAAGTCTGCCTCTTTGCTTTCACTTCACATGCCACATGACTTCTTAAACATACACTCCCTGTTATTCATGTGTCTGTGGCTCTTGCTGAATTTTCACAGCAGAAAAGACACATGCTCCCTTGCAGACGGCCTCTGAGATTTATACTTGTTTTTAGCCTACCAGCTCAGATGACCTTCCACCTTTCTCCTGTCTGCTGGCACACTGCCCAGGGGAGACACTAATTGGAACTCTAATTCTGCCAGCTCCTTGTAACTTACCATATGCTTTTTGCTCCTGTTATATCCCAGGGACGAGTTTTCCAGTGGCTTTTGAAGCAATTTGTCTGCCTGCAATAGGGCCTCACTCTGGCCCTTTAAGGATCCCAGTTACTTGCTTTTATCTTTTTTGAGTAAGTACCCACTAGGAGGAGGGCAAATTCTTCCTTCACCGTTTGCAAGTTCTTACCCCAAGCCCCAAGTCATCTGGCAGTGACTCCCTTATGTGAAGAGGGCAAATAAATATTGCCCCTTTGAATCCAAGGGCTGCTGTTTTTGTGAGCATATGAAGGCTTTCCCTGAGTATTTCTCTCTCTTTCTCCCACTTGCTCCTGTAGCTTCCATTTCTCTAATCACTTCCATGCATTTCTTAACATGCATTAAGACCTTCAAGGTCATATTTGAAGGGAGGGAAGTCTAGCCCCTCACTGCGGTTAGCTGAAAAACAGGCTTCTCATCTACCTAAGGAACATGGAAATGGGAGGTAAGAATGTAAGAAAAGAGATAATCTTTTTGCTGCTAAAATGTTGAAGCAAGAGTCACTATTAGGTCATGGAGACAAGAATACAGGCTGGCCCAAGGTAGCAGGAGCAAGAGACCCATAGGACAGAGATGAAGGTTGGTCCTAGGCTAACAGATTACCATTAGAACAGAGATGAAGGCAAGGTTAGGGGTCCACAGTAAGACAAGTTCATTCCAGAACCTCAGGGATGACAGAGGGTCCACTCTTCACTTCAGTATCTCCTCTATTCTCAAGTGGGTAATTGTGATGAGATAGACCAAGGGTATGTGATAAGACCTGTTCAATTTGAAACCCTAAGGACAATGGGGCCTCATTCAGAATAATAGGAAAGTAGAGAAAAAACTTTTCCCCCACTTTTTCTCCTCTGTTTGCCCTTTGTAGATGGGTCATAGCATCTCCATATTACAGAACATGCCCCTTGGATACACCCCTCCAAAACTGGGAAAAGTCTGATTTTCCCAAACCTTAAAACAAAAAACTAGCTTTCCTTTGTAATACTATTTGGCTTAATAACAAACTGGGAGGAAATTGCAAAAGTCAGCCTTAGAACTCAGTATCCCTGTGCAGGAGGTCCTCAGATTAACCTCCTCAGTCTTTTATAACTGAGAGAAGAATAAGGAGGACAGGGCTAAGAAAAAAGAGAAACAGAGAAAGGAGGCAGGCTCAAATATTGGCTGCTCTGCAAGCCCAACAGCCCTCTCTAGGTTGCCCTACGGGCACTCCTCCAGGTAACTGCCATTGGCGTGAGAAGCCAGGCCACTGGAAGGCAAAGTGCCCTAACGGGATGAATGAGAAAAAACCTCTAATGGCTTGCCTCTCTGCCACAAGCTTGGCCACTGGAAACAAGACTGCCCTGAAGGGCCAAAGGGTCCTTGGGACAGAATCCCAATCCCTGATAAACTTGAGCTGAAGGTGCTTTTTGCTCCAGCTGCCTTCCAAATCACACATCGTCATCAATAGGACAAAGCCAAGGGCAATTCTGCAGGTGGCAAGTAATATTATAAATTTCCCTTTTGGGTTCAAGAGCTGCCTACTTTGTGCTAATATCCTTCTCTGAGCAACTCTCTTCCATATCCTGTCAGGCAACGGGGGCAAATGGTACCCCTCTCCAAAAGAAAAGATTCACACCCTTTATTTTTATTTATTTATTTATTTATTTTTTGAGGCAGAGTCTTGCTCTGTCTCCAGGCTGGAGTGCAGTAGCACAATCTTGGCTCACTGCAACCGCCACCCCCTCCCCCAGGTTCAAGTGATTCTCCTGCCTCAGCCTCCCAAGTGGCTGGGACTACAGGAGCATGCCACCACACCCAGCTAATTTTTGTATTTTTAGCAGAGATGGGGTTTCACCATATTGGCCAAAATGGTCTTGATCTCTTGACCTTGTAATCCATCCGTCTTGGCCTCCCAAAGTGCTGCGATTGCAAGCATGAGCCACCATGCCTAGCCTCCCTTTATATTACTTAAGGGACCAATTGCTATTCTCCCACCAGTCCCTGGTAATGCCCCCACACTTCTTTGGGGCAAAAATATACTTTCCAAAATGGGTGCTCACTCAATATTTACCCAACCTCTGAATTCATCTCTCTCTGATAGCCCTATGTCTCCCCACAAAATTACCAAATTCTTTAACCAATAACTTTAACTTGTACAGTCCTGACTCAGGGGTTTAGAAATAGCCCACATTTATTCAGACAAGTGAAAAATCTAACCAAGCAAACTCTTGAGGGGGGATAAATTTTACAGTATGTAGATAACCTCCTTATCTGCTCCCCCTCCACAGGACTCACATAGCAACATGCAGTACAAATCATAGCTTTCTAAGAGAATGAAAATGACTTTTGTCTAATTCAAAGGTTATAAAGATAAAGTGGTATTTCTGGTAAGGAAGAATATAAATAAGATATTTTGTGTGGAAAAAAAAAAACCTTGTATGGTAAATTCTTGTCCTAAAGTAAAATGGTAGTTTTAAAAAAAGGATGTTTAAGACAAGTAAAAAAGTCCAAGCATGTTGTAGTTTTTTATGACTGTGTAAGTCATAAAAAAAGATTTGTGAAAGGGAACTTATGAAACAAATGTTATACAATTTTAAAAGTTATTATGCCTTCTAAATGCTTCACAAACTGCCACTATGACTGTTAACTGTACAACTTGCCTGCATTAAAGCTAGGTAAGGGTTGGGAACATGCAGAGTTAGCTACACCCCCCAGCTATGCTGAAGAGTCAAACCTTATCTGCACTTCTGTCTGGTGTCCTAAGCTCCAAACCTAGTACATAATGAGAATCACGTACTTACCAGATTTTTTACTGAGAGTAAAAACTGCTAAGAATTAACAGTGTAACATGTACTTGAGTCTAGTGGAAAAATAGTTTAACATGCAAGGTGTGTAAGGAAAGTAGAATGTGCTCTTGTTTGGGAAAAAGTTATAAGAAGGTGTGAGAATATGGATTTTTTTGTGTGCCTACTTTAGAGCGTTAAAGAATTGTTTTAGTAGGTGTTTTATAATCAGCTATAGGAATCTAACAGGTGCTCTTAAATGCAGGTTTCTGATAACTTTGGATATTGTGACATTAGAATAGAAGAGAAAACTTTCAGGACTCTCATGGAGAGCTAAAATGTTTGTGAATATCAAGCCGAACAGAAGTTAACTGCATGGACTGAAATAAAATACTAAAATAATCCTTTTATGACTTTTTGCTTAAAACATTGCTGATCCTTTGTTTTTCAATGCCAAGAAAGCTTTTCTTTTAAGCTATTTACAATTTTTAACAATTGAGTAAAGTATACTCCTGTAAACAAAATATGCAGTGTATTTCTCTCTTCCAGATTCCCCAGAATTTGGAAATTATTTGTGAGTATTCTTAATTTATGGCAAGATAGTAATTTGCATAAGTGCAATAAGAATCTGTTTTCTTTTGCAAGAATAAAATTGAAGCCACTGGTTATTTTATCAAGGCTTTAACTGGAATGGTGTGCGTTTCTCTAAGGAATCAGATTTGACTTACAGAGCCAATAAAAGCCCCCAAGGAAAACTAGCCATATACCTTATCTACATGGTCCCTGTACAGGGTTCCTGACCTGTGGTAAGTAAAGAATACCACTTTCTGACAGGCCTAGGAGCCCCAGATTATCTTGGGACCTCAGGAGGAGAGGAATTCATCCAATTCAACAGGTATTTGATGGCACCAACCCATAGCTGGGCTTAAGGCTTTGAAAACATCTTATCTGGCCAGGCATGGTGGCTCACACCTGTAATCCAAGCACTTTGGAGGCCAAGGTGGGTGGATCACCTGAGGTCGGGAGTTCAAGACCAGCATGACCAACATGGTGAAACCCCATCTTTAAAAAAAAAAAAAGTTAAAAAAAAAAAAGAAGACATCTTATCTGAGATTCCTTACGGAACAAAGTTCCATCAAAGCCAATTTAAAAAGAAGTCTATATGGCAATTAATTATTCTTCCTGGGCTTTATGCAAATAATTAGGCCAAGTATAATAAGACTAAAGTTTATTTTGCAAACAAATCAGTCCTGTTATGATTTGTTTTTAACAAAAATGAGGACTGGAGAGAAAATTTTTTCTCTCTCTCTTTTTTTTTAAAGATGAGGTTTTACCATGATGGCCAGGCTGGTTTTGAACTCCTGACCTCAGGTGATCCACCCACCTCAGACTCCCAAAGTGCTAGGATTACAGGTGTGAGCCACCGTGCCTGACCTCTTCTTTTTTTTTTTTTTTGACAGGGTCTCACTTTATTACCCAGGCTGGAGTGCAGTGGTATGATCTTGACTCACTCAAAACTCTGCCTCATGGGTTCAAGTGATTCTCCTGCCTCAGTCATCTGAGTAGCTGGGATTATAAATGCCTGCCACCATGCCTAGCTAATTTTTGTATTTTTAGTAGAGATGTGGTTTCACCATGTTGGCCAGGCTGTTCTTGAACTTCTGACCTCAAGTGATATGTCTGCCTTGGCCTCCCAGAGTGCTGGGATTACAGGCATGAGCATCATGCCTGGCAAATTATGTTTCAAAAACTATGGTATACTTGTTCTTAGATTCTAGTCTCATCAGCTGTTTTTGAGTTTTTGACAGCAATTTTGACTAACCCTCATTCCTGTGAGCCAACTAGTGATCTCTGGCTGCAGCTCGGAAGAAACAAAAGGGATGAGTAACATAAAAATCTGGATCAATATTCTAATTCTGGGCACATATTTGAATTGGCTAGAAACCCAATAAACTCAAGTCTTAGCAGGCATGACTATGGCCACCAGCTACATGAGCATGCCACAGGCTTGGGATTTTTTGGAGCTGTCCTCACCTCCTTATTTCATTTTAACATTCTACTAAATCTAATAGCTCAATTTGTCTATTTTCACCTTCAGGCCATCAAGCTCCAGATAATCTTCGGAGAGGAATACCATCCTCTCAATATTCAAGAGTCACCCTCTTACAGGGTACTCCTAGACTATCCATCAGGGATACATGACAAAGATAAATTTCTGCCCCTGCCTCCCTTGGACCTAGCTGAATACTGTTTTTATCAACCCACAGAGCCACCTCCTGCCCTGAAAGCTAGCAAGAGGCAAAGACCCACAAAACCACCGCCACTGGCCCTCTGTCAGCAGGAGGGAGTTACAGAAGACTGATTATTTTCCCCAAATAATTGGGGTCTTGGAATCTTGAGAGGAGAAATTCTACAGTGGGTAGCTAGTTGGGCATGAGCAGGGCTGGAGAGGGCTCCCCCAAACCCCTACAACAAATGTCAGGTGACCATCACATGATGGTCAGGCAGCTGTTAACTGCCTCACTAAAATAATAATTGATTGCTGCCAGTACCAGAGAAAAGCAGTCTCCCAAAAGATAGAAAAAACCTGAAACTGGTAATCAGCAGCTTCCCAATAAGATCTCAGGAGTTGCAGAAGTGGGCTCAAGCATGTGCATTAAAAGGCAAAATGGCAAAGCTGAACTGGTACATAGCCTCCTAAGGACATTCAACTGATAAGGGAAGAACACTTCAAATGAGCATGTATACAACTCCCATAAACACACCATGCATGCTCCCCTCCCAAGGGATAATAGACAACTGCACACACAGACAGTCCATCCCAGAGAAAGAATTAGGGAAGGAAAAAATGCAAGCCCTGGAAGTTTGTCAACATATAAAATGCTAAGTCAAAAAGTCAAACCATGCACTTGTCTTTCAAGTCGCCTCCTCAGCCCTCTTCCAAGTGGACTTTCCTTCCTTTTGTTCTTTCTCTAAAGCTTTTAAACAAACTTTTATTCCTGCTCTAAAATTTGACCTGGTCTTTCCGATTCCCTAATGCCCCTTGGTTGAATCCTTTCTTCTGTGGAGGCAAGAATTGAGGTTGCTGCAGATCCATATGGATTCACCACTGCTAACATAGCCTCTCGTGTAATTCTACCTGAAGATTCTTTAAAGCATTTTCTCAATGTCAGCACTATTGACACTTTGGTTGGGAAAATTCTTTTTGTGCATGGCTGTCTGTGCACTGTAGGATGTTTAGCAGTGTCCTTGGCTCTGACTCATTAGATGCCAGTAGCATTTTCCCAGTTGTGACAATGAAAAATGCGTCCAGACATTGTCAAATATCCCCATGAGGGGAGGACAAAAATCATTCCAAGTTGACAATCACTGGTGTAAACATGTCAAAAGGCAGGTGATCCTTAAGCAGGGAATAGTTTTACATAGCTGTAAGAAATTGTTCTAGACACAAGCTGTAAGAAATTGTTCTAGACACACTTTTCTCAGGACCACATGGCGTTGGTCAACTAGCAGTAAAATTTGGTTTTGGTAAATGGATTGCTTTATGCTGCTTTCCAGTGTTACATGCACAGCAAGGTAGTAACACTGATGTATTAACAATGACTTGTTTTGATCACTAGACCACTGTAAGTAAGTCCTCTTCTAAGGCCTTAGTCAATATTGCTAGTAGACAATAAACTTGCCCTTCTGAAAAGGGGATGGAGCAAGGCAGGCCAAAAAATGGAGGCTCCGAAGGGTCATTCTAAGGGTGTGAGAGTGGAGGGTGTGAAGTTGGGTTGTTATATCTCAATGAGTGAAACTGCTGAATGAAAGTAGGGGGAGCCAAACTCTATTCTGAGATATATATGAGTCAGCATTTTATTTTCAGCCTCTGGCAGGATCCTCAAATCCATTTCAACATCTAGTTTGTAGCTCTGTACAGTCTCCCACGGAAATCACCTTCAAAATGTACAAACTTTGAAGAAAATAAGAGTGGGAAGGGAGAGAAAATAGAGGTGAGGAAGTGGAAAGCAAGAGTGTTTCTTGTTTCATTGAAGCCTTGGCAGGCACACAATGATGGCTGTGTATCTTCCCGGTGGTGCCTACATCCCAGCTGATATGATTTGCTCTGTGTCCCCACCCAAATCTCATCTTGTAACTCCCATAATTCACAAATATTTTGGGGGGAACCTGGTGGCAGATAGTCAAATTTTGGGGTTGGGTATTTTCTGTGCTGTCCTTGTGATAGCGAATGTTTCAGGAGATCGAATGGTTTTAAAAATGGGAGTTTCCTTGCACAAGCTTTCTTTGCCTGCTGCCATCCATGTAAGACGTGAATTGACCCTTCTTGTCTTCTGCCATGATTGTGAGGCTTCCCCAGCTACATAGAACTGTAAGTCCATTAAACCTCTTTCTTTTGTAAATTACCCAGTCTTGGGTATGTCTTTATCAGCAGCACAAAAACAGACTAATACACAAGCATTAAGTGAAGTGCCACAGTCCCCATTGCCTCTGTTTCCTCTCAGACTGAACCACACTAGAGATATCAGGGGAGTGGATACCTAAAGCCCATGCAGGCCCAGGCTCTACCTCTCACCATTATCAATAGGGCAGGATGGTGGGCTCTGTCCTTTAGGATCCTTCATTCTGGCCCTGAGAACTCTTTTCCAGGAGTTTCTTGGAATCATAACCTAATTTTGTTAGGTTTCATGAAAGAGGGAAGAATAAACCCCACATGGTTCTTTCTAGTGCAATCTAGTTAAAAAAAAAAAAAAAGACTTGTTAGTGCTCACTTTGGCAGCACATAAACTAAAACTGGAAAGACACAGAGATGGTCCTTGTCCTTGTAATTAAAAAAAAGACTTTTTGGCTGGGCACTGTGGCTCACGCCTGTAATTCCAGCACTTTGGGAGGCTGAGGTGCATGGATCATGAGACTGAGACCATCCTGGCTAATATGGTGAAACCCTGTCTCTATTAAAAACACAAAAAATTAGCCGGGTGTGGTGGCACATGACTGTAGTCCCAGCTACTTGAGAGGCTGAGGCAAGAGAAGCTCTTGAACCCAGGAGGTAGAGGTTGCATGACCTGAGATTGCACTACTGCACTCCAGCCTGGGCAAGAGAGCAAGACTCAAAAAAAAGAAAAAAGGCTTTTTAGTGGATTAACTTATAAAGTAGATTGATTTTACTTTTGTCAGACCCTGAATCTAGTCCAACATCCAAAACCTGTGTACTTACCTTCATTTAGTACTTCCTCATTTATAGTTTTTTTTCCCCTTCTTAACCATTTTGTCTTAAGATTTACTGCTATTACTTGTGGCTTTAAAGAGAAAAGCCATTACATGTGTGGCTTACACAAAGTTCGTGCTATATTGGTGATGTGGTGGGGTAATTAATAAATCCCCATCTAGGTGATTCTATTAGATCAGGGTTTGGTCCTAGAATCACCGAAGGTTTGTATCCCAGCTTTGCTTATAAGCAGTGTGACCTTGATTAAGTGAGGACTTCTTTTATGCCAATGGGAATAACAGTATCCACTTTTTTGGGGGGGGATGAAGTCTCACTGTGTCTCACCCAGGCTGAAGTGCAGTGGTGTGATCTCAGCTCACTGCAGCCTCCACCTCCCAGTTCAAGCAACTTTCCCGTCTCAGCCTCCTGAGTAGCTGGCCCTACAGGCATGTGCCACCACACCCAGCTAATTTCATATTTTTAGTAGAGATGGGGTTTCACCATGTTGGCCAGGCTGGTCTCAAACTCCTGACCTCAGGTGATCCACCTGCTATGGCCTCCCAAAGTGCTGAGATTCAAATATTCAAATGTTATCTCAAACAGCTTTTCCTCCTACAGACAAAGGTGAAGACTCAGGAGCTCCCGGCCTCAGGGGGCACAGCATAGTTAGAAAATCTAGGTGATAAGTGGCAGTAGCAGTGGCCCATACCAGGGACTTGCACACGTGAGTTCTGAAGGCCTGGAATGCATTTGAAGATGAGTTCATGAACAGACAGAAAGGATTCCACTAATAGCTGAGAAACACAAAGGTCACGTGTTTGTATGGGCCTCCAGGTGGTCGGTAAGGTTGGGGTCAGCATTAGTTTCTTCTTCTGTAAAATGGGGGCAGTTAAGAATTCCTCATCCCTTAATTATTCTCAACAGCAAGAAACCTTCAAAGGTAGAGAATAAAGAGAAATCTGTTTTCATAGAAAGTCCTTGTAATGGGTGGAGCAAGGTGCAGCTACCAGGTGCAGAAGACTGTCTACAGCAAGAAGTACTTCTCAACTTGTGACCTTGGGCCTGTGCTGGTCTAGATAAACCAGCTGGCGCCGGTGTCGCATGTGAGTTTCCTAGGGAGTAGTCACCTCCAAAGGGCCGTGTCGTCTACGGAAGAGTCACTACTCTGAGGTCTAGTCCATGGCCACATTCTCACTGCTGGGAGAAACAACAGGGTCAAGTCTAACAGTCCTTTCCCAGATGAAAAACATCCCTAACGGTGACATAAGCACACGTCCCTCGAGTAAGGAGCCATAAACGGATCTTCCCGCGTCTAAGCGTACTTTATAGAGCGACGCGCCAGAGGCCGTCGCCTGCAATTGCGCATCCGGTCACGGAGAGCATTATGGGATTGGTAGTCCAGACTGAGGCGCAGATGCGGGTCGCTGAAGCGATAGAACTACATTTCCCAGCAAGGCCCACGGAGCAGGGCACACAAACCGTGTACGTAAGTGACCAGACTTCCGGACGAGCCAGGGGCGGGACCTCAGCGGAGGCCTGAGCGAGGCGTCGGGATGCAGCGCCCCGGGCCCTTCAGCACCCTCTACGGGCGGGTCTTGGCCCCGCTGCCCGGGAGGGCCGGGGGCGCGGTCTCAGGCGGAGGAGGGAACAGCTGGGACCTCCCGGGTTCCCACGTGCGGCTGCCGGGGCGTGCACAGTCCGGGACCCGCGGCGGTGCTGGCAACACAAGCACCAGCTGCGGGGACTCTAACAGCGTCCGCCCGGCCCCCTCAACGATGTCCAAGGCCGAGGAGGCCAAGAAGCTGGCGGGTCGCGCGGCTGTGGAGAACCACGTGAGGGTGAGCTCCTCGGGGCGTGGGGCACATGTTCTCGGCGTGTTGGGCTCCTGTTGCGCCTTCTGGGTACTGCCGGGGCGCGCCTAGCTCCTGGCAGGGCGGGTGCTAAGTGAGAGGGTAGAGGGTGTGCACTTTACCGGAGTTTAGACCCCTCTTCCCTGCTCCTTAAAGACCTTTTAGAAGTAGAATCGGTTAGGGGCGAATCTTCTTATACTTGAGCTTTCTAAAGATTCCTTGTCCAGCTGGAGCAGTTTTCACAGGGGAGCCTGGTGGCGTCTGATGCTTGTAGTGGGGGCTAGAGGCACTTGCCTTGTGGCCTCCGTATCAACAAAAGGAATATGGTGGGCTTTGGGGCTGCGGAGCGGTTTTCATTTCTCTTTACGGACCCGGAAGCCAGCGGAGAGTTGGTTTGCTAGTACTTTGAAATTTGAGTTGAAGGAGGCTCTTGGCTTGGTGCGCACCGGCCCCTGACTGTACTCCTGGAGGGAAGGGAAGACCCGGGGCTTCATACCTTTTTCTTTCCATAGGGCGGGGTGGACTAAGTCTGGAGGATGCTGTTTTGTTTTTGTTTTTTTTTTAAAGCCGGGCTGCGGAGATGTTTAGCTGTTATTTATTCAGGCCGTGGCCCCTACTTGTTTGTTAAATGGTGGATATGGTGCTATTAGTGGAGTTTTTATAATCCAAGTGGTTTTGCTGTCACCAATCAAGTTAGTTATGTTAATTATAATAAGGAAACCTAGTGGAGTATGTCTGCCCTGTGGTGTAGTTTCCTTGGTCTTACTGTCTTTTTATCTCCCATTTCTACTTATTAGAAAGTGGTATTAGATTTCCCCTTTCTTTTCTGATGATAGTTCTTTACATCTGTTAATGCTTTGCTCTACATAATTAATTTGCTTAGATGATGTTGTATGAGCTTCACCACAGCCTGTTTGAGTGGGAGTGGCCAGTGTGGTAACCTGTGGCTCAGCCAGTTCTGTAGAAGGGATGTACCAGTGTGCCCTTCTACCGTTTCCACTCCTGCCCTGTTCTGGTGTAGCTTGTTGCAAGTCTGGTTGGCAATAGGATTTTCTATGGGGATTAACAGAGATAATGTAAAATGTATTAATTTGACCCTACCTTTGGGATTCAGTGCCTCAGTTGTAAAGTTGAGACAATTAGCTGAAAATTCAAAATATCTGCATAAAGTGAATAGCTAACGGACAAATGAAATCCACATGAGAATACAATTAGAAAAGCCCAATATCCAAGTTTTCCTGTTAACGAATTTACATTAATATTTGGTGGCACATCTCCCTGACACTTGTATTATAGTTATGTATTTGGTTAAATAAAAATCTGCAAGCCCTAACCTTAGGCTAGAGCCCCAAAACACTGGATTCTGACCGCATCATTTCATGAAGTTAGCAGGTGATTTTGGGGAGATCTACATTGGCCTTTCGGGGGCACCTGTTAAAATCATGTATGCCTTTCAGGGTTTGGCTTAAAGGCCATTTCCTCCTTTCAGTTTTGCCTTAGCATTCTAAGGAGAGGGAGATTTCTTCTCTGTGATTCTGTAGCACTTCATGCCACTTGCATGCTTTATGTTGTATTTTATGTTCTCATCATCTGTGTGTTCATTTCTTCCAGCGCCTTAAAGGGTAAGCTCCTGGAGGGTAGTTAACCTTCATTTAGCATTGGTCACAGTGGGGACTGCCCAGTAAATGTTTGTTCAGTTGTGTGCAGTGTGGACACAAATATGAAAGTATTGGGGTTATTGGAGGCTCTTTGTATAGAATTTCTGGGGAGTAGCACTTCCTGTTCCCTAGTCCATTGTTGTTCCAATATGGTAACAACTTCCATGTCTGGGTGGATGGAAGACTGAGAGTTCTCAGGTGAATCGTTTGTATAGCCACCCTGGACCCAGCTCTGTCTGTTTCTGGGGGTGTAGCCATCTAGGATGGGTCGCTTTGCAGATCTACTTTCTTCTGAACATCTGTAGCCTCATCCCTTTGTTCTCTTTGGAGCTTGGGCTTTGTTTTTTGACTGGCTTGGTTGAGGAAGCTGATGGACAATGATTCTAGTTGGTTAGCAGTAGTATGTATTTCCAAAGTTACTCCATTCGACAAGCTGAGTGAAGTTCTGATGTTGCACATACATGTGGTTTAATATTGCCCATTAGAATGGGGCCACTCCTCCAGCAGGGCCTGGTTGGTAGTCTTCTGCTGTTGGGCTGCATCATAGGCAGTCTTTGGTCACCTCTGGTTGGCTTTGGCAAGGGCACTGATTCCTAGGCCAGTCATTTGATTCCAAGGCCTCAGCGATTACGTGGTTGAAGAGCTTTAGGCTTGGCAGGCCCTTGCAATTACTGGTCTCTTCCAAAAGGCAAAGAAGGAGCCTTGTACAGAGCTTGTCTGATTCATCCAAGTTCGTCTCTCTGCTACCTGCCTTCTGGGGACTGTGAGTGACATGAATGTATGGATAAGCTTGGTAACCAGGAGTTTGGTGATTGAATTACTGTAAAGCTAGACTTCCTAGCTTCAGGTCAAGTGTGAAGGTCAGGTTAAGTTTAACTAGTGTGATATTTTAAACACACACACACAATGTTTTTACCCATGGCTTCTGGTTCATAACACCCATAGCCCTTGCTGCAATCTTTTGTTATATATGGGGTGCTTTAGGCCTCAGAAGAAAATCTCCCTCTCACACCTTCTCCTGTCCTCCTTTCACTTGCTCCTTTCTCTCCCCAGTGCTTTTCTGTCTTGGAGCTGACTGTAAAGAAATTCTGTGACCTGTGTTGTCTTATCGTAGGTCATAAGATCCCCATCTCAGAAGGGTTCCTGTTCCATACCCTGGAGGAAGGAATGCTGTACAGATAGGTGAAGAATCTGAACAGACAGCACTTACAGGGTTTCCCCAGTCAATCTGTACCCTTTTTTGTCCAATCACATTTCTAGGCCCTTGCAATTCCTGGTCTTTTCCAAAAGCCAATCATGCTTATTCGACAAATTTTCCAAAAGGCTCAAGAGTACAGGGTTTGGAAGCTTCTGGAGAGCAGAACATGTGAAGGTCCCTGAAGGATGGTGTGCCTGGAGAGCGTGGAAGCTCTGTGCCCCTTCCTACATGTCTTGCCCTATGAATTTCTTAATCTGTATCCTTCATCATAGCCTTTATAATAAACTGGTAAATGTGTTTCCCTGAGTTGTGAGCCACTCTAGCAAGTTAATTAAACCCAGAGAAGGGGTTGTGGAAACTCCAACTTGAAGCTGGAAAGTCAGAAGTTCTGGAGGTCTGGACTTGGATTTGATGGGAAGGAGGAGGCAATCTTGGGAACTGAGCCCTCAACGAGTGGGACGTGATGGTATCTCCAGGTAGATAGTGTTGAAATTGAATTGGAGGATACCCAGCTGGTGTCTGCTGCAGGATAGATTGCTTGCTTGGGATATGGGGAGAAACCCCCATACATTTGGTCACAGAAGTCTTCTATGTTGATGATTGTTGTGGTGTGAGAGCAGAGGAAAAAGTTTGAGTTTTTCCACATCAGACGTAAGACATTTTTTCATTACTTGAAGATTTATATATCGATATATTTAGCCCTTTTGAATGTTTCTGTGTTGTAATGTATTATTTACTTGTCTTGAAGTCCTTGCCTTTGGGGCTTGTCCAGGCAGCTAAACAACTTTATTAGACACGTTGCCTCCTTGAGAGCATCGGCACAGGTGGAATTCTGACCTAGTGCAAGCCCTGTTCTGACAGCCCAAGCCCCTGGTATATTCAGTGACTTTGGAACTGTGAGTTAGTAAAAGCAGTTTCCACCAGGTCAGTAACACGAAAGTTGTTGGATAAAGTCATCTGTAGGTAGGAGAGGCTACAGAAGCATTTTTAGTATACACGTATGTGGCTGTGGGGACATTGAATTTATTTATTTTTTTAATCTCTACTTGTTGGTCATTCTTTCTAATCTTTAGTAGAGCCGTAGTCTAACTTTGAGAAGGACCATATTAAATGTGGGGTCTAGGGGCTGACTTTAAGTATTACTGTGGCCTTTGTCCTGTGGGGAATGAAGGATTTTAGTTGTGGCCCTGTTTGTCCTGAGGGACCTTCAGGACTTTTCTTCTTCCTAAAAAGTTTTACTATGGGCTTTCCTTTGTCAAGTAAATTAATTGTTAATCAGTTGTTGGAAGTCTTAAGAAATTTGAGGCTGGGCGCGGTGGCTCAAGCCTGTAATCCCAGCACTTTGGGAGGCCGAGGCGGGTGGATCAGGAAGTCAAGAGATTGAGACCATCCTGGTCAACATGGTGAAACCCCGTCTCTACTAAAAATACAAAAAATTAGCTGGGCATTGTGGCACGTGCCTCTAATCCCAGCTACTCAGGAGTCTGAGGCAGGAGAATTGCCTGAATCCAGGAGGCGGAGGTTGCGGTGAGTCGAGATCGCGCCATTGCACTCCAGCCTGGGTAACAAGAGCGAAACTCTGTCTCAAAAAAAAAAAAAGAAATTTGAAGTGGATTGATGTTTCATCAAATTTAACTTCTGAAGTCGCTTATTCGATTAAAGTGGCTCATCCTGTAATCCCAGCACACTTTGGGAAGCAGAGGTGAGAGAATCACTTGAGGCCAGGAGTTTGAGACTAGCCTGGGTGACAGTGACACTGTGTCTCTTAAAAGAATTAAAAAATTAGCTGGACATGGTGGCATGTTTCTGTAGTTCTAGCTATGTGGGAAGTTGAGGCAGTGGGATTGTATGAGCCGCAGGAGTTTGAGGCTGCAGT